GTGAACATGTAAATAAGTCAGGCACTCGGCAAGATACGTGAAACACAAAAATTCAGACAACTGCTCTCCAAAAGCTCACAGCCTAATAAGATACCTTGATGAGTGAGATAAGAGGTGATAACATGCTATAACGGAAGCACATATGAAGTATTAAGACAGAATAGAGGAGGGAGGGGCCAGTCTGTCTGGGGAGGGTCAGGGAATGCTTCACAGAGAAGATAATATTTGGGTTGAGATGTAAAGAAAGAGAGGGAGCTCACCAGTTTTAGCAGCATGATATGAAGTTTTGAGGAACAGAGAACAATGTATTCAGAACTGAGCATTCTTAAAAGACAGTGGTATGTTTGGAGAATAGTCAGTCTGGTGTTAGAGTATAGTGAACTTACTTTGGGGACAAACAGCAAAGGAGCCTGAAAAAGTGAATTGAGGCCTGGATCAGGGTTGTTAAACATTTTCTGTAAAAACAGTAAATGTTTCTGGCTTTGGGGAGACTTACTCAACTCTACCCTTGTAGTATGAAAGCTGTCATAGATAATATACAAATGAATAGGTGTGGTCAGCTTCTAATAAAACTTTACAAAAAGAGTTGGTGGGTCAGATTTGGCACACAGTCTGTAGTTTGCCAATCCATTGCCTAGAATGTGAAGGGTCTTTTAATGTTATGCTACAAATTTAAGTCCTATCTTGTGGGCATCTTTAAGCACAAAATGATCAAATGTATTTTCTAAGAGCTTAACTGTTGCATCATCATGGAGTCAAAATGGAAGTGGATATGGATGTTAGGACAATGAGTGCTGGGGGAGAGATATGGAGGAGGCAGAAAAAGGACCCTATGTTTGAGGTATGTAGTTTCAAAGTAAGATGGGCAGGTATTGAAAGTAGAGTGGGGAGGGAAAGGCTGACATTGACTTTCCTCTGAAGACTCCCCATGTGTCTTGACAATCAATACAGAGAGAGTAGGATTTTTCACTCCTACAGCCCAATTATTTTTGAAACTATTTTAAAGATAAAACCAGTAAATCAGCCGAAAAGGTCTGTATCTAAAATAGGAATTATCTGGGTTTAGGCCTTTGGTCTTGTTCCAATGATTAAGCTCTATGTTAGGAAATTCTTGGAATTGGCCTCAGATGTGGCCAAGCCAAAGACCAGCAGATCAGTTTCCCTGCTGAATCACTGACAATAAACACCGTTTTCTGAAAAGTCCTTGGTGATCTTAGAAGCTAAATAGATGGTGTAAAGAAAAGACAAATTTCCCTGGGTTTTTTAAAATGCTTTTTTCATTTACATTCTTGTTTTACAATCTTGTCATGGATGGTAAATGTTCCAAATGGTTGTATTTTGACTATGAGATGTCCAGAGTACATTGGAACTTAAAAATAAATCAGTGACATGACTCAGAATTGAAATTAGCATATCATAAATTTCTTAGTAATCTATCTGTCCCTGGGAACCTGGCCTTGTCATCATCTGTTTAAATCCTATGATTTACTCTTCACCCCTCCTCTGCTATCCCACCTCCACTTTTGCTTTAATAGACAACAGTCAACTCTTCTAGACAGGACATTTTTGTTCACCATTAATGTTTTGCGTTAGTCTTGTAGACATAGATCAACTCAGAGGTTTCCCAAAACAGTGTTTGTTTGTTTGTTTGTTTTTTTAGACATAGTTTTGCTCTTGTCACCCAGGCTGGAGTGCAATGGCGCAATCTCAGCTCACTGCAACCTCTGCCTCCCAGGCTCAAGTGATTCTCCTGGCTCAGCCTCCTGAGTAGCTGGGACTATCAGCACACACCACCATGTCTGGCTAATTTTTTTGTATTTTTAGTAGAGACGGGGTTTCATCATGTTGACCAGGCTGGTTTCAAACTCCTAACCTCAGGCGATCCACCCACCTTGGCCTCCCAAAGCACTAAGGTTACAGGCATGTGACACCACGCCTGGCCCTGAAACAACTTTTAAGAACAGAGATGTTTGACTTTGGTCATTGTTTTTAAAATGTGACTCATCAGTCAACCTCACTTGAGCACTTTTCCTGTGTTTTTGTCATTACCAATTGCTGGCTTTAGGACTTCAGTCTTCCTTTGTCTTGGGTTCCATTATGGTGGCCATCTTGCTTTGTGGGATTTTTGAGAGCCCAAGTCTTCTTTGTCTCCTGAAGGTATCAACTGGTGACCCTGAGACCCTGAGCTTCACAGAGCTACAGGTGGGTGTGCTTGATTACTTTGTCTTCTGTTCCTTGGAAGGTACAGATCACCTCACAACTTCAACCTAAGTTACAAACACTAAATAGTAAGTGAACATAGGTAGAATTTATGCATGGAAATCTTCCCTCTGTAAGTTAGCCGCATGTCAGTATGAAAATTGTGGCTTATGAACTCAAATGTATACTCTGTTTTCTTGATGAGATAGATATGTAATTCAAGTACTTTTTTCGCAGAGACTTAGCTTTCAAAATTAAGGAAAGAGCAAACACATACTAGGCTGGGTTTTTTTAAAATTGTTTAATTTACCTAAAAATCTTATGAAATAGAAAGACTTTTAGGACAATGTACTAAAAATATTTTACAGAGAAAGACCCAAATGTAACTAGTGTTAGAAGTTAGAGAAATAGGTTCTTGTTTTGATGACTACCAAAAATTGTGTGTATGACAAAGTATGTGATTTCTTATTTGCCTGATAATAAGATTGGAGTCCCAAACAACTCTTAAAACTTTATATTTATTTGTGTATATAATTATAACAACTTTTAAAATTTGATAGTGCACTCAACTGTTCGTACTAATTGTGTAGCAAAAGTCATATAAAATGAAGCCTGATTGAGAAAGTCAATATTAGGCTGCAAAATTATTCTAAGATATTTCTGTCTTATGGATAGAAGCATTCTAAAACATAGTGCTATGCAAAAAAGATAGATGGGCCCGTAACTTCTTAAGTCTTATGATAGATTATGTTACTCCTTCTTTTCCTATTTCTATGATAAAGAAACTATTCAGACATTCAGATAACTAAGGTAGAGGAGTGAAATTCAGTGTTCCTCAGGGTTACCCTAAGACCACCTGCATTCAAATCACCTATGTATTTTTTTCACTGAATACTTCTGGCTCCCATCTTAGATCTACAGAGCTCAAATCTCTAAGAGTAGAGTGTAGGTCTTTGAATTTTAAACAAGAACTCCGGGTGATTTTTGTGCAAGCTCAAGTTCAAGAACCAGCAGTTCAGTTGTAAAGGACTATAGTTAACTGATTAAGGGCTTTGGAGTCTAGTAGACTCGCTGTAAAAATGACAGTAATTAAACTACTAGAAGAAAACATTGGAGAAATGCTTCAGGACATGGATCTGGGCAAAAATTTCTTGAACAAGGCTTCAAAAACACAGACAAAGCAAAAATTGACAAATGGATTATATCAAGCTAAAACAGCTGCTGTACAGCAAAGGAAACAATTGACAAAGTGAAGAGGCAACCTACAAAATGGGAGAGAATATTTGCAAACTATTCATCTGACATGGGATTAACAACCAAAATATATAAGGAATTCAACAGCAATAATAATAATTTGATTTTAAAAAGCACAAAAGATCTGAACAGACATTTCTCAAAAGACACACAAATGGCCAACATGTATATGAAAAAATGCTAAACATCACTAATCATCAGGGAAATACAAATCAAAACCACAGTGAGGTATCATTTTAACCCAGTTAAAATGGCTATCAAAATGACAGAAAATAACAAATGCTGGCAAGGATATAGAGAAAAGGGAATGCACCTATACTGACAGTGAGAGTGCAAATTAGCACAGCCGCTATGGAAAACGGTATGGGGGGGTCCTTAAAAAACTAAAATTAGAACTACCATGTGATCCAGCAATCCCTCTGCTGGGTATATACCAAAAGAAAGGTAATCAGTATATCAAAGAGATATCTGTACTACCATAATTGTTGCAGCACTCTTCACAATAGCCAAGATTTGGAAGCAACCTAAGTGTCCATCAACAGATGAATGGAAAAAGAAAATGTGGTAAACATACACAATGGAATATTATTTAGTCATTCAAAAGAATGAAATCCTGTCAGTTGCAACAACATGGACGGAACTGGAAGATGTACATAGAGGGAAATAAGCCAGGCACAAAAAGACAAATATCAAATGTTAGCATTCTCATGTGGAAGGTAAAAAATTCCATGGAGGTAGAGAATAGAATGGTGGTTTATAGAGGCAGTGGAGGGTAGTGAGGAGGAGGGAATAAAGAGTGGTTAATTAATGGATCCAAAAATACAGTTCAATAGGAATGAGATGTAGTATTCAGCAGCATCATAGGATGACTATGATTAACAATAGTTTATCACAAATTCTAAAATCGCAGGAGGAGAAGATTTAGAATGCTTCCAACACAAGGAAATGACAAATGCTTAAGGCGATGGATATCCCAATTACCCGGATTTGATCATTCCGCACTGAATGCTTGCATAAAAATATCCTCTAGGCAGGGTGTAGTGGCTCACATCTGTAATCCCAGCACTTTGGGAGGCTGAGGTGGGTGGATCACTTGAGGTCAGGAGTTCGAGACCAGCCTGTCCAACATGGCGAAACCCAGTCTCTACTAAAAATACAAAAAAATTAGCTGGGTGTGGTGGTGTGCGCCAGTAGTCTCAGCTAGTTGGGAGGTTAAGGTGGGAGAATCACTTAAGCCTGGGAACCAGAGGTTGCAGTGAGCTGAGATCACACCACTGCACTCCAGCCTGGGCCACGGAGTGAGACTCTGCCTCCAAAAAAAAAAAAAAAAAAAAAAATCACATGTATCCCATAACCTTGTACAACTATTGTATCTCCATAGGAATAATAAATGATAAACTCCACATCACTTTTTAAAAACTCCACATCATTTTTTAAAAGTCACAGGTTGGGAGGCTTCATGTACCTGAGACATAGTAAATACTCAGTGTGTGATAGTTATTAATGTCGTAATTTTTCATCTCAGTCATTTAAATATTTGACCTGATTCTCCATTTTCTAAGTGGAGAAAGAACTTAGTTTTGTGTCATAAATCTTTATCGTTCCAAATGATTCTTGATTATTTGGCATGCCTCTTCTGACTATAGGTCTTCCTTCCTCAGAGTGAGCATCTCGACCTAGCTCTGTCACCCTGTGACTTGTTGTGGAGGCAGAGGTCCTGTTACCCACCACCTGTGCAGAGTAGAGGATGCACCCCTACCATTTTAGGGAACCTTCGTTTATTTACCTTATTTTGCTGGATCTAGAGCTGAGAGACCTCAGGAAATTAGGGGTTTGGCTAGTCATTCCCCTTTTCCCACTCTCTTCTCCCTCATCTGAAGGATTGAATAGTCCCTGGGGCCTCTTCAACTTCTGAAATTCAAAGAGAATATATAGTCTAGTATTACTGAATCACAGTGTTTAAGAACTAGAACAGAATTTAGAGGTCAGATTCTGTGACATGCACTGACATACTATCTCTGTGAAAACTGGTTAAAGCAGAGAGAAAATGAGAATGATTTGGGACTATTAGACAATATTATTGAGTGTCTTAGAACAGCAGCCCTTATTTCAGTCTATATTCTGCTGGCCTAAAGTGTTTTTGTGACAGAGTCTAAGTAGAAATGACAATGTTGTGCTATTATGTAGCAGTGACAGGGAATGCTTTCTCTTAGGAATAATCTAGTCAGAAAATTTGACACTGAAATGTGTTCATTGTCTTGGGTTGGGCTTTCTAGAAGCAGAGTCTGAGTGGTGGTTCCTCAGGCAAATGATTTATTGAGGGATTGCTTCCGGCCAAAACTTGCAAGGGAGTGGGACAATCAAAAGAGGGCAGGGGAAGCAGGTAGGCAGAGGTGTGGGTTGAGTTGACACCTGGCCACAGCCCGACCTCACAGGGAGTTGGAACCTGACTGGCATCTCACAGCTATCCCTCCTGGAAGCAATGGAGCCCACCTGTTCTACTTCTACCAGCCAGTCATTGGCTGTGGCCACCATCCCAGACCCCCCCTTGCCTTATCCTTGACCTTCAAATAGTTCATCACTCAATAGGTTCGCGCTAGGTCTTGAATCCTTTTCTTTTTTTAATTATGGTTCATGGTATTTTTCTTCTGTTCCTAGTTTTCTAAGAATTTTATTTTATTATGTCACTATTCTGAATTTTATGAAATGCATTTTCTGTATCCAAGATAATTATCTTTTTTCCTCAAGTTGTTAATGGAGAGTAATTATTTTTCTTCTGTTAAAGCACCCTTGCATTTCAAAAACTATTCTTTCTTAGGTGTAGTATTTTACTTTTCATATGCATTGTTATATTCAAGATGCTTATGTTTTGTTTGATAGTTATAGATCTGTTTTCATAAATCAATTTAGTACAGAGGTTGTACTGGGTCACAAAATGAGGTATAAGCATTCTCCTTAAAAAATGTAGAATAGTTTTTATAATATTGGAATCATTTGTGAATTTATTTCCTGTGAGTGCTATAACAAACAACCATGCACTTGATTGTTTACAACAACAGAAGTTTATAGTTCTAGAGGCCAGGCGTGTGACATGCAGGTATCAGCAGGGTCACGCTCCCTCCAGAGGCTCCAGGGGGCATTCCGTTTCTAGCCTACTCCAGCTTCTGGTGGATAGTGGATGCCTCCATGGTTACGTTGCCTCTTCCTATTCTGTGTGTTTTTTCTCTGTGTATCTTTTATGAGGACACGCCATTGGATTTAGGGCCCACCTGGACAATCCAGGATAATCTCTTCATTGTAGAATTCTTAAGTCAGTTACATCCACATAAGTCCTTTACCCAAATAAGGTAACATTCACAGGTTCTGGTGATTTGATGTGGTCATATTTTTTGAGGGGCCACCATTAAACTCTACAAACTCTTTCTTGAAAGCATAGTATAATTTGTAAATGGAGGGGATTTTAGGGATACATTTCTGAATATGGACTCAATTTCTTTAATGATTTTAGGGCTAGTCATTATTTCTTTATAATTCTCTTCTGGTACTTTTTAAAAAAATTATTATTTTGTCTACATCTTCAAATTTAACTGTGAACTTGTACCTTGAATTTTTAAAAGATTTTCTAGTGAAATATTTTGTATAAATAGTTATGTGATCTAGTACATTTCTAATAATATTTACATACTTCTTACTATGTATATATTCATATACAGTATATACTACTATTATGTAATATATAGTTGTATTCCTGTATAAATAGTTCTGTGATCTGTTTCAGTACCCACTATTGCTGTCCTTTTATTAATGCTTGATCAGGTTGTCCAAAGGTATCTAATTGTATTCATTTTTTAAAGAGTCAAAGCCACCTTTTGAGATCTTCCCTAGCCATCACCGATAACATTTTACCTGACAGTCTCCAGGCAATGTCTGTATCCAATTTTCCTGCTTTCTCCTTTCTCTCTAATATGTATCATCATCTAGCATAGTATACATTTTATTTATTTGTCCCTCTCATCTGTCCCCAAAATAGAATATAATTTCCAAAGAGCAGAGATTTTTGTTCATTTGGATCATTACTAAATCCCCAGTGCCTGTGTCAATCAATAAATGTTTTTTGAATGGATGAGCCAGAATTTACTTTTGATATGTCAGTCTCTATCATTGTTTTGTTTTTTATTTCATTAATTTCTGCTCTTTATTAGTTACCCTTTCTTTTCCTTACATTTAGGTTCTTTTTCTTATTTGTCCCAATTCTTAACTTTTGGGTTGAATCATTCATTAATTTCTAATCTTTTTTTCCCTAAAATAATCATTGAGAATAAGCATGTTTTGGAGGAAGGTGTACCACTCCAGTGTTATCCTAAACTTTTTTATTTGGAGAGTTTACACTGCCATTCACTTCTAGATGTTTTATTGTTTCTTTATGATTTCCTCTTTTATTCATGAATAATTTAGTAATCTGTGGGTTATTTTTAAAGTTCTTGAAGAGAAACAGCTATTATTTTATTGATTTATAATTTTATTCCACTTTGGTGGAAAATATGCTCCAATAACATTAATTTACTGAAATTTGTTGAGATTTGCCTTGTGGCCTAGTAACATGTAAATTTTTATAAATGCACCATGTGTGCTATGGTATTACAAATATGGAAGATTCTCTATTACTTTACTCTCCCTGTACTGGTACACGTGATTCTCCTTAGTGACACTGGTATTACAAATCTTATAAATATTTCCTCTAATCTCAGAGACTTGTCTTCTGAATATCATGGTCATGGCATTGCAATTTATCAAAATCCACCTACTATAATGAAAACAATTTTTTTTTTTGCAACATACATGAAAGAAAGTTAAGTTGAATACCAGTCATCAGGCTATTGATGTCAATGGTATTAAATACTACTCCAGAATGTCAAACTTATATTTCAGAAAACATATGCCTTAATATTTTCTCACAGTATATTCCAAAATATCCAAAATGTTTTTCCTTACTGTGCCAACTGGAAAACCTCTTATAAACATTATTTCTTCTATTTGATAAAACCAGGGAATTAAAAATGAAAAAGTTTGGCTCTCTATATATTTACATAGTGCTCTAACTTTTTAAAGCTTAAATAAACTTTTAAAAAGCAATTTTTTTTACATTTAAGAAGGTTATTCTTTTCTTGGAGAAAGACATTTTCATGGTAAAATGAGAATTTTTAACCTGAAAACAACATTGCCTCCAATTTAAAGAATATTTTTGTCAGTCCAGCGAGTCAAAATGAAATGTCCAAAAAACTAAACATCAGTAAATGTCACCAGCACCTAGGGACCCCAAATGTTTGTATTTGACTATATATGTACATATCATGATATTTAAGATAGCACAGGCAAGCCTCAACTTAGAAAACATGCTTTTGAGAAACTTTCTTTATAAGCCAGTTTTTGAAACTTAAACCACTGTGGCTTTCAAATAACATTAAAGAAAGAATAAGAGACTAGGCTTGCTCCTTATGATCTACTGAATCCGAGTATACCGGGAATACAGTACTATGTGATCTAATCACTGATTAATGTTTCTGAAGGAAAATGTGTTTAGAGTTCCACCTTGGGATGCCAGGCATCCATCTTCCCATTCAGCAGAGAGGTAGAGATGTCCCTGCCTGGGCCCTCTCAGCCTCCAGCTGGTGGGAAGGGATTACTCAGCACGGGGTCAAGATCAGAGTTTGCTTGGGAGGTTGGGCTCATTGCTGATAAAATATCCTCCCTTCTTAGTCCCAGCCACAGTGCCCTTCCCTCTTCTTTTCTTATCTCATTGCAAGTACTAATTATGAATAAGTTGGAAAGCCTGCACTGAAAATAGCAATGGAGACCAGGAGAAAGGCAACGTCATTTCCGGGTTGCAATCTTCCCTCTGCCCCTTGTCCAGTCTCAGATTTCAACGTACTCTCTCAAGCAAAGGAGCCTTCTCTTTGAACAGACTCTTGTGCTCTTGGACCAGATGATTTTGAGCTCTCTACTGGCTCTTTGAATTAGAATTCTCTCCCTGTGAGTTTATTTCTCCTAGCTTGTTTTTGTTAGCCCTTCATGGCCAGATTTGTGAGAATCAGATTTCATCAAATCCAGATTGATGCTCTTGCTTTTTGGATCTATCCAAATGAGAGCAGCTAGTCCATGCTTCAAAGCACTGCGATATTTTGGTCGTCTTCAACTTTTGGGAGCAAGTTTTCCAACTCTTCAGTTGAAATTTGGGGGCAAATCAGAGATGCAATGTTTTTCATTTGTGTAACTCCCTAGAACCGGTGCCTGACATAAAAACAGTGGTAATATCAGTTGGCAATGCATTAACTACCAGTAACAGAAAACCTGACTGCATTTGCTTTCACAAATAGGGGTTTGTTTTTCTCAGATATGCAGTCCAGGGGTAGGCATCTGTCCATGTTGGTTCAGCTGCTCAGCGTGTTGCTGGGATCTGGACTTTTTCTCCTTCATTCCCCATAGCATATTGGATTTTTGTTCTTAAACTTTTTAGCCATGTCCACAAATGACTGCTCCAAGGTCCTGGCATCACAGGGCAACAATGCTAGTCATCTCCTTCCTGACATCCTGCAATGATATCCAGCCCACCTCTTTGCTCCCGTTCTGCTGGCACCACCAAGTCCATTTTCCATGGAATAGCTAAGATGATGTTTATAAAACAAAATCGGACTCTATTTCTCCATTAGTTAAGACACTCCAATGCCTTCCTAGTAGATTTAGAAGAAAATCCAAACTTTTGACCACAGGCTTCAACGTTCTAGACATCCAGCCACTGTCCCACCTTTGAACCTTGTCTCCTAGCATTCATCCTCTCTCTCATTATACTAGACCACACTGCTTTCTTGTTTTTCAGAAATACACTGCTTACTGTACTCTAGGCCCCTTGCACT